GCCACCCACAATAAATCTAGAAATGATGTTCTCCTGCCACTTGTCGGTTTATTGAGCAAGCAGTTTCTAGAAACACCACTGGGAGGGGCTTGGATCAGGTCAAAACATTCAGTTAACCTCTGGGGAGAAGTCTGTTTACATGTAAATGCACCTGCAGGCAGTCTGGTATTTTCTGGTACCCCCCTCCCCTTTCCTTCACTGGTTCTCCATTTTAGAAGTGTCCTATATTCACAACATTTGCAACTGAATGAGTCATTTGAATAGCTCAAGTTTTTCCATGCTCTTTTTTCGGTTAGTGAAGAACTGAGGAGCAGGTTGATTCTTTTGATATTCTGGTCCTATTCTTGGTGCAGAGGGCTGTTATCAGGTTTCTAAAGGGGCAGACAGATGGGTTAAACAATTAAATGAGAGGCTAGAAATGAAATAGCAGTAAATCTGTCTTGATCCTTGAGGCTCTATTTTTTAAACTCGCTACCAATGCAGTAGGGTCATGGCCTCAGATCGAGACTGAAAGCCAAGCATGAACTCCCTTAACAGGATATCTTGTGTCTGAATGTCTTGGGTGCTCAATCATTTTCATGTTGACTTGAAAATTTCATGTTGACTGTCTAGCGAGACATCGCCAGTGACTCAGAATCACAGGGGGAGAGGGGCAGAAGGGGGGCAGGAAGGGGTGGGTGGTGGTATGAATTAAGACAAACCTCCAGGTCCATGGGAAAAAACAGATTCTGAACTGGCCTTTGATCGGAGCTGAAGGACTAATTGCAGAATACAGCAAATTTAATCTCACAGATGAGTACTCTTTCCAGACTAATTGATGAACAGAAAGTAAACATACCCAAAACCTGATTACTTATTCTGCACATTTGCATAGTTCTAAAGAAAAGATCCATGCTTGGAATGCTGCATTTTTTTTCTTGTACATGGACACATTATTCAAGTACCCAACCCCCCCAAAAAAAAACTTGGCTTCAGGATGCCATGATTTAGGATGATCTAGCGATCCCCTTGATTCCAAAATTTAAACATTCTTCTCCACATTTCTGAAGACTAACCAAACCCAAGCTGTGCTTGCGGGCCTCTTCCAAAAGCTAACAGTTTCAAGTGGGTGGCAAGAGAGGTTCTTACTTGTCACACTTGGGGCTGCTATTCCCAGGGATGCCTTGGGCAAACACCCTCAGCCCTCCAAGGAACCTTCCATCTGTAATGCGTGGGTCCTAGATCCAGGATTGCGTGAGGCACAGTATGCGTGACAAGACAAAGCGGAAGCAGAGGTTGGAAATTGGAATTGAGTGGTTACCATGATCTCTCACTCATGGAAGTGCCTAGAATGAGTGTTCTTAAATGCCACACATGCATCTTTCTGCCCAGGGTCAAACATTTCTCACTGCTGCCAAAGCTCATATCACAGACTAATGAATGCCAACATCTTATGGTTGATTCCATACTTAATTAACCTTATCTAGCGCCTGTATTCCTTTGTTAAAGAAAAACCTCTTCTGAAATCCCAGGTTATCAAACCATTCCAGGTTTTTTTTTTCCTGGAGTGACAAAAGTGAAGTCAATTTGCACACTGCAATGACACTATACAGGTAAAACCAGGCCAAACCCAGTCGGCTCCAGAACCATTTTAGTATCTCACAGCTCAAGTCATGCATGTAAGTCTTCTCTTATGTTTGCATTCTCCCTCAGGGAAAAAACCTCAGCCCCCCCCCCCACAAAGAGATGCTGCATTCTTTGTTCTTCTTTCCTGGCACAAACAGATAACCGCAGATTGAAGCAAAGATGAAAGTCAGGCTAGACGAGAGAAATCCTTATCTGTGGCACAAAAGGCACACAAACCTAAGGGGGAAAGTTTTCAAAAAGAGGAATGTCTAACACAGAACCTCAAAAAAATAAAGGTAAGACTTGTCTCAAACAACTTCGCAAGCCAAGGAGAATCTTCTTGAAAGGAATGCATGACAAACAGGCTGGTGTGGAGTCAACGTCCTGAGGACAGAGAGAAAGGAGAGCGGCAGATCTGCAATTGCATTGTATCCAGATGAAAAATAAAGTGGCGCACAGCAGTAAACAGCACTTGCATTCCACAACTGATTTCATTCAAGATGATTCAAGATGAGCAAGGCATCCTTGCATCAACCATCCACCCCCCTGACCAAGATCAATGAGCCTCACCCCTTCTTCCCTGGGTGTTTGACTGTTCATGTTGGGGGAAGGGGTTTTCAATTAGGGTAAGCATGCCCTGGGTAAATCGGATGTTGAGCTAGTATTGTGAACTGTCTAATTTGCACCAAGTTGAGTGAAACAACCTCAGGTTGAAAAAAATTAATACTCCCATCCAAGTATTTAAAGAGGGTCCATCTTATACCTACTTACCAATGAATAAACAAACAAAAATAAATTTCAATTTGTTTGACGACATATTTGTATCTTTAAATATTTGACCTACAATACCAACACTGCACTAGAACAACTCCATTTTCTGGTCAAATCTCAATCATTACGTTCAGAGGTATGAGAAATGGTTCTGAGATGGAAAACCTGAGTTTTTGAATTTTGTTTATGAAATGAGAACTGGCTTCTATGGCAAAGATAAACTCTAATATTTCTCCACCCCTCCCTTTCAGGGATCAATTTCCAATGATTCCTAACACTCTTTGGGTGTGTGACTCACATCCAGGTTGGACCTAAAGTAGTCCCAATTAAATTTCCCTCTTCCTGCAGACAGCCCAAGCTTCAGCCAGTGGTTTTTCAATTGCGAGGAAAGAGTTCCCTTCAGGAGCAGGACATCATTCATTAAAGAAAATTCAGTGAAAAAAGAAAAGAGGCGAGAGAGCAATTAAATTGGGAATCTTCCTTGTACTTCAGTTAAAAAGTGTCTGGCACGCGTGATGAGCTGGAGTTTGAGAGAGCAGACTGTTCTCACAAGATTAATGGTACATTCCACTATACCTGACAAGGTTCAAGGGGTGAAGTTCCTGTTTTCTGTGCAAAACCATATCAAATCATTGCAGGTTTTTTAGACACTAATTGAAGATCTCCTGTTTACACATGTGAGGAATGGTCCAAAGAAATGGAGGCAAGAAGATCCTATTAACACATGAGCAAGAGAGTCAGTATGTTGTTCTCCTCAGTGAACTGGGTTTGGGCGCATTCGTTATCGTAAGGGTCAAGCTTGGATCCCCTCAGTGAGCCAAAATTGAATTCATGGTTAAGTGGGTTGTCCTTAATGCGTGCCATTTTGAAGACCGTTTTGCTAGGATCCAGAGGGAGCTCCTAGATAAAGCCAAGTGTTTCCTGCCTCTTGACGACAAAGTGGAATCCATCTGAACACCCAGGATTCTTGATTTGATGATTAAGCAGCGGTTCCCACTTGAGTGCCCCCACCCTCCCCACCACTGTGAGATGACAGCCTGCCAAAGCTGGGCTGGCAAGGTTCTTCACCTTAGTAACTGGCTTGCATGTGTTTGTCTTCACATGCACTCCATTTCTTGCACACATGAAGTCTGCGGGATGCACACGTAATATGCCAACCCTCTGAAGGTTTAACATCACTGATGAAAATATGTGCTGAGCATTTTTGGTTGACTCTCTAAATCACTTTCAGGGTTGTGTAACAGCAACAGCTGGCTGAAGGGTAATGAGGCATGCCAGGCTCTCAGCTTCACAACACCAGACAAGGAGAATAATTGAAATAAAATAAGTTAACATCTTCACTGATGTACATGAGGGAACTTATTGTCAGTATGACTGTATAAAGCTTGGCATCAGGGTTTTGCTTCGCTTAGTCACAACTGGGATATATGACTATGCAGTATCATTTTGCTAGTTGGTAATATTTGCTCAGGTTTGCTGCTATAGTTTAGCACGTGGCTTTTCACTTGCCCTGGATGAATCAGGCTACCAGTATTTCCTGCAAAGACTGGATGCACAGGTTTGGCGAATTATAACTCCCTCTTTCTTGATTAATTGTTGTCCAACCCTTAGTAAACTTACTGAGCTGAAATTGCTGCTATTGATTTCACATCGTTTTTCTTCACTGCTTGCACCAAGGTGTGGAGTTATGGTGGACACCACCACCTCTCTCTCCCCCTCCTTTCTTTTCCAAATCCCATACACGCCAACACTTCAAACACACAGGCACACTCAAGATCATCTCAAGGATTAATTCCACATATCACCCGGGCACCTCGCCCTTTGTTGCCCTGCCACCACTTTCAGCCCCCCTTCAATACCAATCAGTTAGTCTTCCCTCAAGGCACACCACATCCGCACTGTTGCTTCCCCTGGAGGCTGGAGGGAATTCTCTGGCATTGTTTTTGAGGGACAGAAGGAGTAGTGTGGAAGAAGAGTTCAACTCATGGCTTTGAATGGAAACTGTTGCCTGGCTCAGGGCTGTGAACTAACAACAGAGTTGGTTCTCTTTGGGACGTTTCCATGATAACACGCTGTCACCCAGCAACCATTTGCAGAAAATGATTTTGAGTTCTTGGAGGGTCCTTGAATCACATGAGAATTTTTCCCAAACAAAATTCAAGATTAATATTTGTCACAAACCACCTGTTTTACAAGTCCCCTGTATTTTGGTTGATTAATGCCCTTTGCAAATTGTGCAGAGAGAGGACCTAATTTCTCTGAGCTGCCTGCATTCTTACACTACTGCTCTTAGCAAATATCAGACCTCCCACTACCCCACTTCCAGTATCCATTTCCACCACCAACACTGTTGACACAATCACTCTGACCCAACACAGGGCATTTCCACCACAATTGTAGAACAGCCACAAACCCCAAGCCACCCCACCACTAGTGGAGTATATCAACACTGTAAACCTTAGAATTTGACCCAATCCCAATTTGTTTCACTAACTCACTTTAATATGCTCCTTGGGCTCTATGAAATGCTACCAATGATAACTGTTGTTGGAAATCTATAAGGAAACTCACAGGAGCACTGAGGAGAGAAGGGGGGCGGAGGACGGGAGAAATAAGGGACTTACCAGGGTCACGGACAGTGACAAAAAAGATGTCGCTGGTGGCATTGGTGTTGGGGTTGATCACGTACTGGATGCGCATGTTGTCTATGTCATCTGCAGACAATTGAAGCAAGGGAAAAAAATACACAAAATGAACGAATGCTCGTGAACTCGTGACTGCTCAGCACATCAACATTAAACAACATGGAATTATAAGCATGAAGAACAAGTGATAAACTTTATAGAATAATGAATGAGAATGTTCTTTTAAGGGGGAGAAATGCAATTTTGTAACGATGCAAAGTGGGTTCAGGCCTAAAACTTCTGAAAGAATTCAATCTTCAGAGAGATCTAATACAAACTACATGTAACTTAATAATTTGGTAAATGCCAGGACTAGGTTCATAAACATGAATTTTTCCGCTGAATTTATGTTAGTTAATTCCAGTATCCAACAGCATGGACAATGGAATATCAAGTGTAAGCCAACCTACAAAGTTCCTGATTGATTTGAAGGCCCTCATGTCACTATGCCGACAAATTCCCGAGAAAAGTCAACAATGATGTCACCAGATCCCTATGCCATTCTTTGTGCATGTAGAATCTATTCAGCAGGCTTGTTTGAAGTTTAGCTCAACTGAACAGCAGAAAATCTCTTAGAGAACATTGGGAATAAATAGCAACCCCACCAAAAAAATCAATCTAATCTTGTTTCCTCAGATCAATGGAACATCAAAGATGCACTCTGCTAGAAGAAGCCAGCATACCTAACCAAACTAGCAGAGATATTAGTAAGTATTGGGGTCAAAATATCAAGAAAGAGGAACAAAAATGTTGACATCAGAATGAAGGCAAGTAGAACTCTAAGCAGTAAGAACTCTGGTTTAATTAGCATGAGTGGGTCTGGAAGTTTCCGTTTCCCAGCATTAAGGCTGTCAATCAGCTAGACAAGTCATTTGGAATTAACATCTACTTTTCCATTTTGACCCTTAGCATGATTTCTTTGGGTAATAAATCATCAAACATTTTGATAACCTGTCTGACAAACACGCACACACAAAATAGCTAAGCCTATATAATTAACCACCCCATCAAACATCTCTGATTGAATTTCTGGTACTGATTTCCTGTTGAGTTGAATCATTGAAACAGTTTCGAAAGCTGTACCTAGGCAAACTAAACATAAATTTGCTTAACTCCCAAAATTAGCCTATAAGAAATTATGAAATACAGAAAATATGAATAGTGTGTTCTTATTCTGTACTGCTACAAGCCACAGGCAAAACTTTTCCCAGGCACTAGTTGTGGTCTCCTTCCTTAACCACCATTTCCTATCCTTGCAATGCTAGTCCATTAAAAACTAACCTTCCCACTGGCTTTGTTGTGTTATCAACCACTGCTTTTCAACACAAACAACAATAAATATCCTTGGGGGCAAAATAAAGGGCTACAATTTGTTAACTTTGAACCAGACACCAGACCGCAGACTGCAGGGTTGGGTTTTGTGGGATGGATGAGAGGGTCACCAAAATGAAAAAAATCCCATCCATTAAAAGAACAAAATATGAAACACTGGTGCTGTGCATGCCTGGCGACCAATGGAGTGGCATTTGGTTTTCTTATTATAACTGTGCATGTCCAACTTCTACCTTCTGATTGGCCCAGACTCAATGAAAGCAAATAAAGCAAAGGTGACAGCCTTGGGTTGTGCAATAAATCTTTTCTGAGACAGGCACAAAGAGGAAATGGAAAACCCACGAGGAAACTCATTGTCAGTAATAAATACCTTGCTTGAGACAGTCCCGAGAGCAGACTAACTAACCCAGTTTGGGATATTTTAAGCTCACTGGTAATACATACCACACTGAAGCTAACCCATCTTAAGATGAAAAAGGTCCCTTAATTCTTTACTCATTCCCCTTTTGATCAAACTACACAAACACCACTTTGCCATTTTAACTATTACACCTTATAACTCTAGGCAAGTCAAAAGCTATATGTCCAAAGCTGCATCAGAAATGCATTGAGTCTCGTCTTTTGTGACACCATCCTGCGACCAGTTTCACACCGCCTCACTAACATTTGTTGATAAGAGATTCTTCTCTTACCTGCCTATCAGCGCCCCTGTTAAATTACAAGTCTGTGTTGATTTTATGCTGCCCACCAGTGCCCCCTTTTAGATTATAAACAACCTTTCTAAAGACTCAACAGCAGGCCCAGTAATGTCTGCCATATTCCCCAGACCAGGAGACCCCAAGGTGACAAACAAACAAATGACAGACTGTGGTCTTAACAATGACTAGGGAGACTGAGCGCACACCATCACTGCTAGGGTTGTTTACTAGTACTTGCTCAACAATATACCTAAATCATCTCTCCAAACGTTAATCACACCTACCCTTCCTGTTTATCTCCACCTCCCCTCCAAAAAAATCAATTTTGAGTCAAAACATTCTGAACTCAGCATATGCAGTATAGCTTCAGAAAACAGGAACTATTTGGTGACTGGGTGATAATTAATTCTCAGGCAATTAACCTGCAATTTTTTTCTTCTTCGGCACTGTACCCTGTACAACCCAACATGACTTCCCATTTCATTTTCTTGGTTTCCTTCTGTGACCAGCCAGTACTGTACACCTAACATTTAGCAACCTGTCAAAGGAAGTAATCATCAATTACTCGGGTATGGTTAAGAGGGAAAATGGGAGCCCTGCAGTTACCAATTCAGCTCCACCATGTATGATCCAAGGACCACTAAAAAAGGTCCAGTTTATTTACCTCATCTAATTAACCCAATGACCCAGGCAAGGACCACAAAAGGCTCATCAGTGCTGTCTTCACTAGCTCAGTGTTGGCACTAACCAAGTGAAAAGTCCACTGATGCAACTGTGATCAAGACGTCTGTTTACAATCAGCATTCTTGCAAATTTTATTTTCCATTAAATTGCCAGCAAACTTACCCTTCACTGATTTCCCTACAAAAGCCTATTTTTTATCCATCTCCTCAGTTTCAACCACAACATTTGGGGGTTTTACAGTTTAAACTACACAATGAGGGAGATACTACATACAGGTACTTTCACTTAGTTCATTTGGTTAAGAAATTAAAAACCTACCCAAATAAAACAGAACCCATGCAAATATGAACTCGGCAGTTAGTCAACCATTTCTCTAAGCTTCTGCAAAACAAGGGTAAATTGTTGAATATTTTCCCCTACACCTAACCCACAGGGGGTGACAGAAAAAAGCAGTGTTGCCGTGTCAACCAAACAAGGCGCCTGAAAAACGTCTGCCTGGGTGACCCTGAAGAATTGCCACTTTGTTCTTTTTGGACATGGATGGCCACTCCCGCTGACAAAAGTGAGCCCCCCCCCAAAAAAACTTTTGAAATTCACACAAAACCAACCCCAAATTCCAACCCGTTGAAACTGAAATTCATCCCAAGGTTTTGGGAAAGTGTAGGATTACAGTCAGAAAACCTTGAATATCATTTCGCTTTAACAGGCATATACAACTTGAATTCTGCACTTCGTTGGCCCCAGGAAGATAAAAGAGCCCTTGAAATTCACAGAGGTGAAACCAAACATTGTGGATATTGAGCAACCATGGAGATGCAAGTCATTTAAATTGTAAAAGGACCCTACAAATTACAGGAACTGATGAAAAAACTGAAGAGGAAAGAACTATATCCTTTTACTTCATGCCTGTAAGTTACAAACTTGAACCAGTTCAAAGATACCTGTACAAAGATAACTCTAAAAATATGAGGTACATTATACAATTTTCATAAATGTCAGAGTATTGTACCTGTTTCTGCATATCCTGCAGAGGTGTCAGGTAATAGGGGCATGATTTCAAAAGCCTACTCATTTCTGCACTTTGGAGTGTTTCTCAGGCATGAAACCCCTCAAACACACCTGAAGTGGGCTCCAGACTCCTCAAATAGTTTGTCTCAAGGTCTGTCCTGTGCTCTTCATAATTATTTTCACCCTTTGTCCTCCATAGCCTGTTAATGCTGTACTGTGGGAAATGCTAGAGTGAACAAAGCACAAACTACTGCCAAGGCTCTTTGGAAATGCCGTATTACTTTGATTATATTTTCCTCCTTTCTTTTGTCCTGGTTCTCTGACAATTCTTAACAGCCAGAACACTTGTGAGACTATTACTGCCCTTTGACCACCGTTGACATTCTGAATATATATATATGGAGCCCATAAAATATTGGGGCAAGTGAATAAATTTATACCTGAAAACAATTCAGGATGAGGGCCAAAAAATGACCCCAAAGGAATCATTTGCTTTTTTACTGATCCTTCAAGAGTTTTTTCAGGAGGGTCCAACAACCATCCGCTCACTGGAAAGATTTTTAAAAACCTTACAGAAAGGGGCACTGATAAAATATTTCAAAATGCACACACACTGGAATTTTAACTGAAACAAGAGGGTCAAGCCGGGTGTAGGCGAAAAAAATTAAACAAATTAGTTAAAGTTTTTCCATCACTGGCTGCCATCCTGGTAATGGACAGTCTGCCATTTTCCCAGATGACTAAGAAACTTTTCTACAGACTGGTACAAACCTACTTCTCCAGACTGTCCAGATACTACATCCCAGAGAAGTGATGTGTACAGCAGGCAATAGATCCAGTCAGGATACACATGGTACAAGTGCTGCATGTGACAGATTGTACAATGGAGCAAGGGGAAAAAATTGACAGCGAATGGAATGCTAGTCTTGGGACTATTGAAGACAAGGAGATCCATCATGCCTCCTCTTGAGGAGCAGTTTGTAAAAGGTCATGCACAGATGGAGCACTGTGGATTTCTTCACAGCCATGCCACTGGAATTCATCTACACATCTGACACAGTTATGTACTGGCATTTGCTGCTAATTCCCCTATTAGAACTTATCCACTGCAAAACCATTCCTTACAGAGACAGTGCACTGTCCAGTACCACAACTAACCCTGTCCAAGTTGTTTCACTGAAATTCAATGGCCCATGTGGGATGTCTCTCTTATCACATGATAATGGGGCATCTTTGGATGAGTTGTCTGTGGATTTCTGGTAGCAGGGGATGTGCCAGGGTTAATTTTACCTCCAGGTATCAATTCAT